GCGGTCCATTCGTGTGGATTGTGGGCATCTCTGGTGACTCCATGCTCATGGCACCGGCTGCGTTGGGACTGCTTGACGCACTCTCAAAATCGAAGGACTCGTCCATAAATTTGTCATCGTTCAAATCCAGGCCGTCGGGCAGCGTCGCGTCGGCATTTGCGCCGAACATGAAGATACTGTCTTCTGGACGACCGACAAAGGCCGAGGCGTCCCAGTCGTGCTTGACGTCGGCTCCATCGGTCATCATTACGTCGGCGGTCTTTCCTGAGGCGGAGCTGGCGGTCCTTTTCGAGGACGCAGAGTCGGAGGAAGAATCTCGGAATGAGTCGATGAGGGAGTCGGGCGAGCCAGCGGCGACGGTACCTGTGGCTAGCAGGGTCGCCTGGGGTTCGAGCGACTTTGCTTCGTGAAGCGACTGAGGGAAATCGGAAAGTTTGAGGGTATCGTGAGCGTTTAGGTCGAAATTTGTCGGCAGAGGACTCGAGTCACCGAAAGGGTTGTTCTCGTCGTATTCCAAAAATTCGTTGAATTCGCCGGTGGGGGACATTCCCGGAACGGCTGGCATAGGGCTGGCACCGATAGCGGCACCAGCAGTCGTCATACCTTAGCCAGAGACTGTGATAGTGATGGATGGAAGATGGGCGAGTGTAGTGTAGGCCCGACGACGACGACGGCGACGACGACGGAGATGGCGACGAAAGGGGAGGAGGTGAAAGCTCGGTCTGGGGATGTTGTGGGGAAAAGGGCGTCTCGTGGTAAAGTGGTGTAGACCAGGCGGTGGAGTGGGGGCCCACCGTCCCGTGTCCCTCTAATGCGAGTCCGACCCGGATTTGCGCTGCTGGGCGAGGTGAGTTTGTGTTTGATTGTCGCACTGGGCTGGAGCCGGGATGTGCGGCGGATACACGGTGTAACCTATTGCTGATGAGCGGCCGTCGGGGCAATTGGGTAATGGTCCCAGACTCCTAATGGTCGGTGGTTGATCGTTGGGAGGGGCCCTGTAAATCCTTCCTCTCTGCTGTCTGTATCCGTACCTTCGTACGGTGCGGAGCTTGGGTGCGTGGGTGCTTGGGATTTCGTAGCAGATAGGGTGGGTGGTCTATCCTAAGAGCACATTGCTGCGGCGCCGGGGAACGCAAATGTCTCTTGTTTTCTCAATCGTCTTTCCTTCTTCTCGCGCTGGGCTTGCTGTCGGGGACTTTGGGGGGTGGTTGGAGGGAATGCAGTAAGGGTGTTTCTTGTTCTTTTGCACTTGGTTATTCCCCGGTCTAGTAGGAGGGGGAGGGGAGTGATAACACTACTAGGTAGGTAGTTCAAGTTACGATGAGCAGAGGGAGAAAAAAAAATAGAAGGGCAAAAATTACAAAAATAAAAATAAAAAAGAAGGCGAGGGCGGAAATTGTATGCCCAGGAATCGGAGTCTGCACTGGTGCGTGTACGTGCGTGCGTGCGGGCAGCTCCAATCTCCAGAAAGTCCAAGTCGAGGCGGTAACAATGTCTCAAAAAAGCGGCCAGTCCCTTGGAAAGCGGTGACTCGAAATTGGGCTGGGCAAAGTGAAAGAGACAGGGGGATGGATATGTGAAGGGCGATTCGAATCGGAGTGCAGATAGATGAAGCCAATCAATAAAGCCAACGCCCGTCGTTCCAGAGTGTTGTGTGTGGGTGTCCAGACGTGGTCCAGAATCCAGACCGATTGAGTTTGGTTGCAAATGGAGCGACCGTTGTAAGAAGAACGAGAAGAACGAGAAGAACGAGAAGAACGTCTGTCTACAACAACAAGCAGACGACGAGGACGACAAGACGGGCGGATGGACGTCAGCGATGACAACAGACGGCTATCGACCGGTATTGTGTGACCTTGATGAACGAGCGCCGGCCCCCGGTGACCGGAGACGATTATAATCTGGAGGCTACAACTCTCGCTGGATTTGCAGGCAACACAAGATGATACTGAAGGGTTGCAATGGCCGGAGTAAGCACCGAGCCACTGGCATCAAGGGACAACGGCAGCACACAGAGGAGGTGTAGGCAGTACGGTAAGGTAGGCACAGACGCAGAAGCGACGAAAAAAGCACAGTTGATGGTGAAATGGAACTAATTGTGGACCGGGGGTGATGTTTGATCGTTTGGTGATGTGCAGGCCGGCGTGCGGGCGGGCGGGCGTGTGTGGTTGTGTGTGCTGTTTCCGTGTGTGTCCAAGTTGCAGCATGTAAGGCAAGGTGAAGGTAAGCTACCTATCCAAGGTAAGGTATTAGATAATAGTAGAGGCGTGGCTGGATCATTTCCCATACTTTGTATCCGTACTTTGTGAGAGCTGAGGATATACGGCACGTTTGAATACCTGGCTTCATTGGATGGAAGGCTTATCTGGCTTAGTTAGGTGTTACCGCGTCCAGAAAAGCCTGACGCAAGCTGCGGCGAAAAGGCATAACTACGGCAGGCAAGGTAAGAAGGTAGGTAGGCATTCACGTATTTCACTCAATCTTGGGACTGAACGAGTACGATGAGGGTCGGTCTGAAGCTTGTTCGCCATCAAGCCGTCCCATCCTCCGAGACGCGCTCGCTTGCTGTGCGTGGGCGGGAGCCAATCTTAGGTGTGAGTTAGGAAATGGTGGTGTGTGTCGTGTCATTTTCTCTTCTCATCTTGCAGCGTCCTCCTCGATCATACCTTGCCTCAGATGGTGTGGCACTACCTACTACATCATACATGGCATGGCTTCCTCTGTGTACCGAGCAGACAAACGTGAGCGAAGGTCGAAGTGGCAGGAACGGCGGAAAAGATGGCGCTGCAACTCAAGTGTTGGAGCGGACGGTAGGCAGATAGGTAGGTATCTTTACCAGACTACCAATGGGAATGAGAGCGAGATAACCAGATTGGTTGTGCGACTTCGCTGAGAATGCCATGTATCCGTATGGATGGATCCTAGAGTTGGTCTTGGGTCTTGGGTCTTGGGTCTTGCGTCTTGCAGCTGGCGTTGTGGCGTTGGATGCCCAGTGCTCAAGCTTCCCGTTTGGGCCTGATACTCATAAAGGTAGCCGCAACCTTGAGCACGCTAGATTCATCGAACTTTTCTGCCGGGTCTGCATGTCTGCTTGTCTGCTTGTCTGCTTGGAGTTGTACCTCAGGACCAGGTGCTGAAGTAAGGTAGCACGGTAGGTAGTCGGAGCTGGAGCTAGAGCTGGAACTGACTGACGCCCTGTGCTCTTCCCGCGCTTGCGGCCGGTCTGTCGTGTATCTCAGCATCCGTATCTGTATCCATCCTCGTGCGTGAGCGCCTGTGCCTGCCTGCCTTGACCGGTGACCACGCAGCAAAAAGACCTATTTCCTCTTATCCCATTCGGCTTGCGTCTGCATTGGCCAAAAGGTCTACAGACCGAGAGTGGATGAATGCGATTATAATGGAAGTTGGTGGAGGAACATGGTCGATTAACACTGAAGTGTGCAGTCGAATTGCAGAAAGGTTGATGAAGCGGCGTGGAAATCTGCTGGGATCCGTACAAAAAAAAAAAAAAACTCGAAGGCATTGGAGGTACGTACCAAAGGGAAAGGTACAAGATTGGCCGTGTGTCTGCGGCGGAAGACTTACGCGAACGCACCGTGTGGCACCTGCGCCACGCGCCGCCAAGACAGCTGGCAGCCCTCTCCGAGTGCCCCACCCGGTGCCCTGAGTCCACTCAAGCCACCCATATTCTGGCCAATGAGAGGCTTGTCTTGTGACGGTCCCTTGCTAGAGTCTGAGCACAGTGTGAGGATCTTTGCATTCTTTTTGTCGACCATCAAGACATTCTCACTCACATCCCACGTCGCCCGATCCCTTGGCCGTCCCGACCTCCCACTTGGGGGACAAAATAAATGGCCGCTTTTTGGTGGCCAATGCGACGACAGGCGGCCATTTACTTTGTCCCCCGAGTGCCTCCCCTCCTCCTACCACCCACTACCCACACATCTTGGTCTTGGTCCTTGGAAAGAATGACTGATAAGCAGACCAGGGCAGCAATCATCCCCAATGCCACCGCAGGGCACCGCAGCTAAAACACGCGCGTCCCGACGGCGGATGGCCCCTCCGGTACGGAGTACGCAGTACGGATACCCGGTAAATTGTGACATTGCTCTGTGAGATGAGCCTTTGCATCTTCTAACGTTCTATCTCAGGTTACCCTCCTTTACTCATACACGCTTACCTAACCAACTTCGTTGCGATAGGTTCCAGCAAAGCCTCTGGCCCTCAGTCTGCTTACTGTCCACGGATACGTGTACGAACTACGCATACAAAGTCACGAACCAGTCCTCATCACCCTGTGCAGCAATTCTGCCTGCCCGCCTCGAAACCCACTTCAGCCCAGGTAGAGCCACATTCCTCGGGCCTGCTCTCCCCCATTCCACTGTTTCTCATACCGGTAGGGCCTAAAGGGCCCAAAGGTTCCTTCCAGGTTGCTTCCAGGCAGTGCCAGGTTCTTGAACCCTCGACTCGATACCCTGGGCCACTCCCGGTGGCTCAGGCTCTGGTCCCTGACCTGTCGCCAGGATGCCAATGCACCGGCGATGCAGAGTTGCAGTGCCGCCGCCTTCCTTGCCTCGCCAGGCTTACCTCACTCATCAAGTCGTCGCACCCACAACTCGGCCTTGCCCCTCATCAACAATCAACGTCAGTCTTCATCATCTTGCAGGCACCAAGTAGCATATTGCCCGATACTGAAGCAATCTGGCCTCTTCCAAGTCCGGATACGACTTGGCTCTTGCTCGTATGTACGCGTCTGTTGTCTCTCTGCCTAGAGCCTTCTCCACAAACAATACGCTTTTGGCCAAGTCTCGTGATACGCAGCGGACGGTAACTCCTAGGAGACTCCTTGAGTATTTGCTCACTTTTGTTACCTTTTTTTTGTGAACTACCAAAACTGTCCAGTGGTCACTGTGGCCAACTTTACCGTGTGCCCGCACATTGGACGAAAACAGTAACCTGATCCTCTGCTATGGGGTCGAGCTACGCCGACCCAGACCGGTGCCGCGGGAAACTAACTCTCTCACGGACTCTTGTCATCGACTTTAATACGCAGCTCGGCTCGTCTCAGGACGTCAGCGCTTACCTGTTGCTACAGCTAATGCAGGCAAATGCCCATGTACCTACTTACCCCTCCTCCAACGGGACTGTGCAGGTTTGTGTCCTAGGTTCCTTCCCGGCCAACCTAAAGTATCGAGATCAAAACCGAGCGGATCTTAGTTGCCCTCGTTATGCAGCAATACTACGCACCTCCCTCAACAAGAGACGGTACGTCTTTGCGGCGTGTGTCCTGAACCTAACCTTGGCCGGACCGTTCCATCCAACAAGACTGCTCGGCCTTCCAGAAACCGTCCGGTTTCCCTCCCTCCCTCTGTCCAGAGACAAGCTCTTCCTTTTTTGCCTTTTCGCCGGGAAATAGCCTAGCTCATTGGCCCATCTCTAGATTTACTGGTTGAAATGCAAGACAGCGATTGTCTGCAACGCCAGTTAGTCATTGCAACGAACTGCTACTACCCTACATGCCTGCGACACAACAGCCACCGTTGGCCGCCTACGGTAATCCGACGCAAGAACCGGCGGAAGACGGGTTGGCACGATATCAGCCTGCCGCATTGCTTGCGTCCGATGTCAATCATCGGCCCTTTGATAGGCTCCCGCTTCCCTCAACCGTCAGGAACGGAGCCCGGTGGTGAATGCAACCCTTCCCGCAGATGGTCGTCAAATCTGCACCAACAACCACCACCGTGCCACCATCCTTTTCCCAGCGAAGCAATTCAACCAGTCGATCAATTCCTTTCTGTCCGAGTCTGGGCCCCAGCCCAGCTCAAGCCTCGCCGTCTGAGCGGGATTAAACAACCACACAAACAAACCTGCCAGCCTCCTACGAAATCGAGATGCGACACTTACTTCTTCAGCCCCGACGTCGCTCCGAATCTCGCACAAAACGCCTTAATACCACCACCACCACCACCTCACGTTTAGTTAGCCTTTGCAATCGTGTGTCAACAATTCTTGGTCCGGCCGGGTTGCACAAAGCAGACTGGATTCATTATGTAAAAAAAATCCTTGCACTGTGGCTAAAATTGTGCATAAAGCTGGTTTTCCATCTGACCTTGATCGAAACGTACTAGACATCACCTGGACTGCAGCCAACGGCGGTAACCTAGTCTCCCCCAGCCTACCTAGAGTCCAACTACCAGCCTACCAAACCCAAGAGCACCAATCAACGAACGGCCTTACACCACCCAGAAGATTGCTTTACGTGCGGCAACAACTATAAGGTACTGTACTCTAGGCGACTCCGAAGGAAGTAGTGTACAACTCGCAAATGGTGGACCGAGCAAATACCGAGTGGCAATCTTTCCAGTCAATTAGACGTCTAATTACGGGTATTCTAGCCAGTTCTATCCCCCAGTTCTCTATCTACAGCACAATGGAGCATGCGCTTGTTCAACCCTCTACGAGTTCGAGCAAGGTGGGACAAAGTGTCGCTTGAAAAGACCAACCAACTAACCGCGATTTGTCGTCTCCAAATACTTTCCTGAGAGTAACCCCCGAGAGACGTGGAATCTGACAGCGGCTGGTGGCATCCGGAATTCAGTCAGCCGCGTGGGTTTTGTCTCACGTCTAAGTCAAAGAAACGTCTTTTGCAAGAAGAAAAAGAGTGTGCATCACACACACAAATCTGCTGCCTCACGGAGTTTTTTGTTGAGTTTTTTTTTTTTTCCGTCTGCAAATCACCGAGGTGCTGCAGGTGTCTCGTCCGGAAACCGGATTGTACGACTTGGGAGCTCTGGTGGCGGTGGCGTCTGCGCCTGTTGTTGCTGTTGCTGATCAGCCATCTTTGTCTGAGAACCATTAACGTGTTCTCCGTCTTCGGGGCCTAGACGTTTCTGCTCCGGTTGATCGGGCCGCTTCGTCCAAGGAGGGGCCGCGCCCGGCTCGTCCGCGACCGCAGGCTGCGGAGGTATGACTGAGCCTCCAATCCTGTAGATGGGCCGATTTGCTCCTTCCACGTCGGACTGGGGTTGAGACTGTGACTGTGACTGTGATTGTACCCGCGACTCGGTATCGTAGCCTGAGCCTGTCGCTGCCTCGATACTTTGGGATCGTGAACGACCAAAGGGATACAGTACTCTGCCACGGATGCGGAACGAGGGTCGAGTGGCCTCGGGGCCACCACCTTCGCCGTCGCCGTCGCCGCTCATGAAGGATATGCCTCTAGAGAGCGAGCGCGGAGCGTAGTAGCCGAGCTTGCCGAGCGGGATGCTCAGCCCGTGTACCACCTACTTGAAACTTCATTTTTGTTCTCGACGGTTTGGGGAGTGCGTCACTTACTATACTACAGACTGCGAGGAACCAGACGACGACTCTGACTATCTCGGGCAGGTGAGCGACATCTGAACGAGGTTCATCGCCCTCGTTTAGCGTGTGCAGGAATTCCACTGTGACGTAGAGGTAAAAGATGGCCGATACACCGATGGGGCCAAAGAAGCCCACAAAGATGGCTTGCTTCACTTGCTCGATCTGGGGTATGAAGCGGTGGACGGCGAAGACGAAGGGTAGGCGCCGCAGGAGCAGGACCAAGATGCCGAGCGGAATGAGGCGGTAGATGGGGATCACGTTGTTGTGGAGGAACTCGTTCCACGGGATGACGGCGCCGTACCACATGAAGATGGTGACGTTCAAGAGCATATCAATCGTTGGCTGAAAGGAGTCGTCTTCGGTTTCCAAGCGGAACCAATCGTCCCACGTAAAAGCGTTGCCGGCGATGAAGCACGCGAGCACGTCGTCGCTGCCAATCATGCCGCACGTCCCGACGATGAAGAGCGCCAGGGAGATGGCAAAGACCAGGAAGCTCTCCCTGTCGACGTACTTGCGCTTCTCGGCCCATCTGAGGAGCGTCTTTGCGAGCCATCCCACGACGGCGCCGTAGATGACGCTGAGGATGATGGTGTAGCCCCAGGTCTCGCCAAACCACAACCCCATCGCCAAGCCCGCGCCTCCAGAGGCCTGCTTGCCCCCATCGCCAATGTACTTGATCAGGTACAAGGCGAAGAACAAGAACGGGTACCCCAGCCCATCGTTGGCGCCGGACTCGCTGATGATGAGGTTCTGCAGCTCCGTGGGGATGTTGTGGTCCGCGAAACGGCCCTTTACAATGACGTTGGACAGCACCGGATCCGTGGGCGTCACGCAAGCGCCAACGGCGAGGGCGTGCAAGAACGGAATATGCGGCACCATGGCCCAGACGAGGAGAGACGTCGCGAGCCACATGCAGGTCATGACGGGCCCGACGAGCAGGGCCATGGGCTTCCACTGCGTGCGGAGGTACCTACTGGGCAGCTGGACGCCGGCGAGGACGAGCTGGACGCCGAGGACGAGGCGGGAGAAGGCGAGGGTGACGCTCTCTACATCCTCTTCCGTGCCTGCGTATTCCAGCGGTCTGATGAGGTTTGCTGCGGGAGGGGAGAAGGCCACGCCCGCGAGGAGGGATATCACTATGGGTTTTTTTTTTTTGGTTAGCTTCTTGATGCAAGACGAATCGAGAAGGGCATGTCGTCCTGCATGGCGATCTGGGCGCGTCTACTGCAACCCTTGACGCCATTCACCATTGGGGGTCCATTAGGCTGTGAACGTGTGAACAGCGGGGTGGAACTTACGGGCTTCGGAGAGGTAGTAGTTCTCCTTGCATAGGTACGAGACCAGGCCGAACAACGAGATCCAGCCACCCAGCAGGCCCACGAGGATATTGAAGTTTGTGAGCGCGAGGGTAGGCATCTTGGGCAGCCTTTCTTTGGGGGGGTTTCGCTTCACAAAAGATCGAGAAGTACACAAGCTTTCGCCAAGGTGCTAAATCGGGCTTGGGAGCTTGGAAAAGCCTCCACACTTTGTGCGACTTTGCGTTGTAGGCCCCCGCGATCTCGTGGGAAAGATGATCCAATGAGTGCTGGTGGGAATGCGACAGAGACCCGGTTCGCCAAGTTTTTGAACCACGAGGGGGCGGTTTCTCTCTCGACAACACAAAATGATGGTGAATTCTTGTGAACGCGCGCGCGCGCCCTACGGACAGGGAGGTTCTTAGGTTTCGGATCCGAAAGAGACCGGAACCAGTAGGTAGGTATTCGTGCGGTAACGATCCGAATTTACAGGCGATTCTAGACCAAAACTGGAAGACGACTATTATCGAATCGCGGGGTTCGAAGCGTCGTGGACGAGGACGAGAGTGGCGGCGCTTGCGTGGCTGACTGTCATTGGGAGACCAACAGGATCAATGACTTTCGTGGCGATGATGGTTGCTTCTTTGGATCTTTTTTTCTGCGACCAAGAGATGGCGGTCTGCACGTCTTGCGGTTCTGGAGGGGTCCTGAACTTTCTGTCTGCCCAATGGGTTCCGAATGCGGTGCGTAGACGCGGGCGGTCGAGTGGTGGGTATCCGTAAACCAAGTGAAAGTCCTTGGCAAGAAGGTCGCGATGTAAGGGGGAAGAGGAAGAGAGGAAAAAGAAAAAGACGGCGGCTCGGCGAGGATCCCAATGCAAGTCGGTGGTTTCTGGATGTCGGGGCGAACGCCGCCGAGCTGTGTGGCCTCGGCCGGGCCCTTGTTTTCATCATCACCGCTGGTTTGGCAAAGCGGGAGGAAGGGGGGTCCTGGTCCCCTGCTAGGGTACCTAGGATGTTTGTCGTTGACCCGATGAGGTATGGCTCTTTTGAAGTAAGTGTTAGAGTGAGATGATGGGACGCTCAGATTTGCGATGATGTGGGGTAGACACAGTTCGGTCGTTTTACACAGAAGTGGGATGGAGGCTATTACTCTATACGGACCTTTCCTACCTGACCTCACCGAATCGCGAAGAATTATCTTTTGAGAATGCCTACTTCAACGGCGCTTTCTTGTGTGCTTCTCATCATCAAAGCCGGACCTCGTATGAGGCCCATCGTATTTCACAAAGTTTTCCAAGTTTAACCAAGTACAAAACGTCCCTCTGGATCTCTTTCTACATCGACATGGATTTCCGACGGCAAGCAATACCTGCTTCACCCTACAAGACTGGATCAAACAAGCGCCGCAAGGTGGCAAGCAAACTAGGTAGTCTCTCTGAACTTCAATCCGGCGTTAAGGATCTAGGTCCCTTCTCTTCCTTCCCTTCCCTTGCCTCCGCCCCTCCTTGTAACTTCCTCTTATCTAGAATCACATTCTCTAGCCGCAAGAGCTTTGTCAGCATCCACAAACGCCCACAGGAACGACAACGTGGGGGGGCGTGGAAAGGGAGAGCGAGTAACGAGAAGAACACCCTAATCACATTAGCTCGAGGCAGAAAAATTACACACGTAGAGCTGCCTATAAGTTTAGTATGGTCTCACAAACCGCCACCGTGCTTATGAGACAAGTGCAGGCTTTCCAAGACCATCGCATTTCACACCACCGAGCCGCGGAAGCAACGGGGAAGAAAAGGGTTCCCAAAGATAAAGATATTCTGCCCTTGGAGAAGGCAGAAAATCCCACGTAATAAGACAGAGCTACTATTTGTAGTAAATCCAACGTGGGTAACATGTTCCAGTATCGGAATAAGGGAGGGAACTTTGTCGAGGGCAATGGAAAATCAGCTTGGGAAAGAATACATGCGGTATTTGGGACGTGAAACTACTTAAACAACAGACAGAAAGGGATAACAGAATGGTTGAACAACACGCCCATTAAACACTTGACAACGTCATGGGAGTTCTGCGACGAAAACGTTCGTCGATGGCCTTCCCGCATACAAGGTGCCCCTCCAGGTCTTTACTGTCAACGTCTTCCAAGGATCACAACGATACCAAATATACGATCCGCCATTGAAAATGAATACGGTGTCAAAGCCTAGAAAAGTTTCAAGAAGAGGGGGATATCGACGCAAGCAAACCCATCACCAGGTAATCAATCATTCCCACAGACTCGAAAGCGTGGGCTTTCCCTACTTTTTGACGTAACCCGTCACATCAAGCCAACAACCCTTCGCGAATATGGTAATATTCACCATGGCCCATATCGCTACTGTAGAACGATAGTGAGCTTCGTCCGGGTATCGTCAATTGGCGCGTAAGGTCGCCCTCCGTCAACCCCTCCCACTCACTGCCACACTGTCTCCTATGCTATCGCCACCAGGTAGGCACATCTGAACACGCCTTAGACGTGTTTTGCCGGATCGTGATCATCCCTATCCGATTTGAACACCGAGCCCATCGTTGTCGCCTCACTTGAGCTTTCTTCTTGACTTCGCTGGCAAAATCCCCCTTGCACCGGCGGTGGCGAGCTCATCTGCAGCCCTATTGCCTACAGCTGTCTTGCTTAGCTTTTTGGTGTGACCCTTGACCCAGTTGATGCTCGTTATTGTTCCTGCAGCCTCTCGCCTGTTAAGATGTTCGACGATTGCCCTGATCAAATCCTGATTTTTGACAGGCTTGCCACTTCCAGTCCTCCAGCCGTTGGTCACCCACTTTTCGATGTAGCGGGTGGCGCAGTTCCTCGTATATTTGCTATCCGTCCAGATTTGGACATCCTGCGTGACCGAGGTGCACTCGAGTGCTCGAAGGACGGCGGCGAGTTCTGCTCGCTGATTAGTTTGCAGCGCGCCCTCGAGGGGTTCGGATACGTTTCTTAATCCGGCTAAGTTAGTTCGTTGTGTCAAATCTGTTCAAGGAACGATGTAGGAGAATAGCATCACCACTGCTTCGATTGAAGAATGGACCATGACGTAGGAAGAGAAGGTGTAGTCGAGGACTAGCTTACCTTGCATCGTTGGGTCCGAAGTAGACGCCTACCCCGGCCCTGGCGGAGGGAGTACCATTGCCTGCCGAAGCTCCGTCCGTAAAAATCTGTGGCAAGTTCAATATCTCTTGTTTTGCGTCGTCGTCGTCATCGGTATCCTCCTGTGTCTCCTCCTCCATTCCATCATTGGTCTCCTTCTTCACCTTTGTGGCCTTCGTCGAAGAGCTGGTGGCTAATTTCCTCGGCGGGATTCTGATACCCTGGTTCTGGGCGCCGGTCTCGGCGCCGGCAATCGTTTCCTCATTGCCCCATTCCCTAATAAACTCCAACGCGCCGGCATATGTATCGAACTTCTTATACTTCGGCCCCTTGGCGTCCTTGATTGCCAAGCGAACCGTATCCCAGTCGTCGACGAAAATGCCCGTGAAGTTACCACGCGCGACGGCATAGTATCTCGGGGGCCCAGCTGGCGTGGGTACGAACTTGCCTTCCACGAACGCCTGGGCCTCTTCGCGAGTGAAGAAAGACTTGTCTAGAAGGCAGCCTCTGTCAGTCGGATTGGCCAAGAAGATCTCCAAGAAGATCTCCAAGAGATCACAGGGGCATGGTCGGGTGCCTTGACATACATTGTGCTCCTGGCTCTTTATCAGTCTGCTTCTGGCACTCGAGCCATGTCAGATATATGCCTGGCCGTTTACCGACGCGCACAGCATAGTATCTCTGCAGATCCTTGTCCGCCTTGCGCTTCCTCGATTTATCCGCTGGCATGTCGACGCGTTCGTTCAGAAAGCTTGCGAGAAGCTGTAAGGTGTTGCGGTACTTGTCGCGGATGTCGTCTGGTCTGCCTCGCCAAAATGTGGCGCTTCGTCGTCTTAAAAGTGCCGATGGGAGAAGGCGACGGCTTGAAGAAGCTCGGGGGTGAAGCTCGTCAACAGCCTTTGTCCAAAAAGCTTGAAGTCGCGAGCGCATGCGTCAGGGCTGTTGCAAAGCTACCTGGTCAGTGTCGCGTGGGTCAAGAGAGTCAAAGACGACTCACGCCGGTGGCTAGAAGGGTCTCGAAAGCTGCAGTTCTAGGGCCGTTTCCTCAGCGGTTGCCTTTGTTCGTGGGCGCATGCCGAAACATGTAACGGGGGGGAAGAGTGAAGATTGCGGCAAGGGCCGGTGACGAGGGGACCACTTCAATGGAGTGCAGATGGATCATTCTTACTGACCCATCCAGTGCCTCCTTCCTCACCAGCATTAGGCGCGCCGATAAGATAAGGCGCATGTCTTCCCCGCAGGAAGCACGACCGCTGCAAAACTTGCCGACCTTAGCGCAGTCTACCTCTGTACTTCTGTACCCAAGTACCTAAGGTACCTTGTTCATCGGGTACCTTCATGAACCCAATGTCTAAGGTATGTGGAGGTAGTTATTCCGTCCGTGGCTAATATCACTTGAAGGCAAAGTTGATCTCACGTCGGCTGAGGCTCTTCCCCAGCAGTTGCTTTCAGGTGGGTTTGGTATCGTAGGTAGGGAGAGAGACGTTACTCAAGGGATTGATTCATCATGCCTCAACAATTGCTCATCACATATAGCATGGGTAATGAAGGTTTGTTTTAATCTTGGTGGTGCATTGCTAAAGTAGCCGTCTTCTACAAATGAGACAGCATGGGTATAATTCCTGACCAGCCTACCGTCGCACGTCTCTTGACTCTCCTTCATCCCGCCAGGCATTCCACGGAAGCTGAAAGGACTATCTAAACCCTCTGCTAGCCCTCCAACCAATTTCTCAACCAACTACAACAAGTAAAATATAAAGCGCAAAAGCTGTTAACGAGCTGGCTCGGCGCTTGTGATACAGGGTTTATCGATACTGATGCATCGAGACTACCGTCAACTTTCATAATCGTTGGCATCCCGGTACACAAAGACTGTTCTGGCCTAGGCCGGTTTCCCGACCATAAGCACCAAGGTATCGTCGTAAAGTCCCATGGGGACTAAGCATGGACTCTGTGATCAACCGGCGGCAAAGGTCCCACGCAGTCGCTCGATTCCCACTCCCACGCCAGCAAGCTCCAGTTCAGCTCACGTCTCCAGAAGAGGCCGAGACCCTCGCCTCCACCGCAGTTCTCCAGCTCGGGATGGCCGTGGCCTCGATCTTCTGAGCACATGCCCCCAGTAAGTGGCATGCGCTGAGCGAAGACGACTTTGCCCATCCGTGAGTGAAGGATAGCCATTGAGCATTGGACGCAAGGCTCGTGGGTCAAGTACATTTCCATGCCGTGACACAGGTAGCCGTCCGCGTTGGGATGCTCGTCTTCATGGACCGTGAGCTCGTCTTCCAAGAGGGGAAGATCTTGGAAAGTGTCGTATTCAAGGATAGGCGGCACATTGGAACGGCCGGCTGCACGTCTCTCGTGTCGCACAAGCTTCTGCGCTACCATGCTGATAGCTCTGAGCACGCAGTGGCCCATTGGGTTGCCGGTACCGCTTCTGTTGGGCTCCTGGTGCCAACGAGCATCTCCGGCGACCGCTACCAGATGGGACTTTCCCCCTTCGCGCTGGACGATGACGGCGCCCATGGGTTCGCCGATATTCGCCTTCTTGGCCTGGAAGGCGACGCGATGAGCCAAGGTCATCCACAGAGACGTCTCATCCTTGATGGTTTCCGTTGACCGTCCCACCATGCTAGGGTGCGGCCCAAGAGGGTTGTTCTTTCTGTACACCGTTGGCCAGAACTGCGAGGTCCACATGGCAGCCTGTACCTGAGAAGTAGGCGGCACCATGGGTATTGGAATCTTAGTGAGGAAGACGTTCTCGTCCATTCCCTCAATAGCTCCCAGCTTTGCGCTCAAGTCGTGCTTATCGAAGTCTTTCTCTTCACCAAGCATGATGTAGATCCAGGTGGATTTACCCGTGTGGACTTGGCGGCCTTCGGGCGAGTCGTTCATGAACTGTGTTTTGAGGTGAGCCGGAATATCCGCTGGTTTCGCACATCGTCGCAAGTGAGGCAAGTTGTTAGCCACGCCTTCAGGAAGCATCGAGCGGATCAAACTGTAGCTAGGTTAGTATGGGCTAGAAACTCGATGACTGCTACTCACTTGACGACATTGTTAGTAGACGTAGAGGGAGCCCTCGTGATCAAAGCCTGGACAATGGTGTGGTCTTGTCGGATTTCCAAAGTCGTCTTCAGAGGAATAAGCACTCCTCGTCCGAGCTGTTGTGGAAGGAGATGGTCGATGAGAGCATGAGGCTGGATGACATCAGGGCCAGTGTGCTCGATTTTTACCTCGGATTGATCGTCAGACCTATCAGAGGCCATGATCGGGAGCGAAGCGCGTTCGACAGCGAGCATCTTGACTGGTGGCCTGGTACAGTATCTAGGCTGGCGTTCAAGGTCTGGGCAGGAAAAGCAGGAACTGGTGTGTCCGTCAGTATAGCTAGGGAATGAGAATGGGGTGCGTCATGCCGGAGTCGTGACTCACTTCAACAGGAAAGTAACTGTATCTCGATTTTAGTCTTCCGAGGCGTGAGACGACCGACGGAGGGCTACGAAGATAGTTGCTGCGCACCGCTGTGGCGTGCCGTGAGCGAAGCTTGGATATGAACAGACGACAGAAAGACTCAGGTAGCTCTTCAAAGGCTTCTCGCGGAGGATTGTAGTGACTTGGGTGAGGAGAGTAGTCAGAAGCTTGTGATGGAGGGGTCGCCGCTAGAATCCGATGCAACTCGTTTGGTTTGTGGTTGAACAGGACCAAGATCGGATGCAGCGGAGGGTTTGCCGAACAGTCAAGAAGTCAGAATGACGACCAGAGAAGATTTCCAGTCAAGTCCTTGTGCGACCGACGGTTGATGTAGGTGGCACACCTGGCTCTTTCTTGAGGGAGATATATGGTGCAGTTTCCTCGTCTTCAACTTTTCTGTCCCCTTTCCTCAGTGCTGTGAGGGCTGGATAATTCTCTAAGGGAATGACAAGCCAGCGCAATTGTCGCAGTAGGTAAGATCCGGATGAAGGAGGCTGCGAAGTTGCTTTTGGCCCAAGGTAAGGTGCACTCAGGCAATACCTTAGAGCAGAGCCTAACGGAAGGAAGTCACGAGAAGCAACTTGAAGAATACCTCAGTATGAGGCGGGGCCCACAATAGCCGGGCACCTAAGGTAGGGAGGCAGGGCCAGCACGAATAAAATCGTGGGATGTTGATCTGGAAGGCGCGGAAAAGGAAGGCACCCGGTCTGCGCCAGCCTATCGTCTGCTCTTGCCTCAGTTGCTGTTCACTTCTAGCTCTGAGCTGCTTTGTCTATCTCCTTCCGCTCTTTGACTCTTGCAGCCTTGTAGACAAACTTGGTTCTGGGTCACTTCTCTAGAAAGATTGTGCTGCCCACAAAGCCTTCCGTCGATCCAGGAGGTAAGTTTGAGATGCAAAATACTTGCCAAGATATCTGGAAATGCACCAGGTATTATTGGAAGCAGCGGCTAGCGGGTCCAGATATCAGTCTGCTATCTCATTCGGGGAGTCTCAGTGTTGGTATCAGTCTCAGCCTCAGCCTTCCATCTATAGCTGGCTTGAAGACGGATGTAACCCAAAGGCTTGAAGATCAATGTTGTTCTGCCGTGTCCTGAAACGAAGGGGCCCAGATTGGGGACCAAGCAAAGAAACAAGAACAGAGGAAGGTGGTCCTCTCGAATCAAATGGCGTTTTTGTTTAACGGATAATGTACCTGAAGGCCAAGAGGTTCTGGAAGCGGTTTGAACTACGGTATCGAACGGACGGGACTGAAGTGAAGCATCAGAAAATTTGGCGATTTAATTGACAGACTGGATCCCAGTAGGCCAGGCGTTGGCAGGCACAGGTGGCCCCTGGTCGAATCGGATTGCAGAGCAGAGCCGCTAGCGGGGTCTAGGGTCTTATCGATAAAGTGACAGGCCGCTCACGCACCTCGGTGTAGCCAGTCCGCGCCTGGCAGTGACCACTCCGCCGAAAGGGACGTTTGGATTGCGCCTGCGACGTCTAAGGTATTTCCAGATTTGTGACATGGGTGTGGAAGTGGGGCGACCCTGCGAATACCTTTCCTGCCGATTGCATCTAGCATTTCTTTGGCAATCACCACCGGTGATTTCTCTCCTATTGTGTCCACGGTGTTTGTACAACTTCCCGTGGCAAATGACTTGTGTTTCCTCAAGAGGGGTCGGAAGGCAAGAGAGAAGAGCGGGAAGGTGCGAGAAATGGGGCCCATCTCATCTGCAATCATGGAAAGGAGGGATCGACTGAAGCAAATATCTAAGCGACTGAAGAAGGAGCTGGAGACGACTGGAGAAGACATGGAATGTGAGAGGCGACTAGGGAGTAGCCCTTCCACCACTAAAACTAACCGAATGTCTCTTACAGACCCATCAAGATGAACAACGCAAAGCAAGACAAAACCTCACCTTACCTCACCTCACCAAAAATACTCACCGGTCGGGCCCTCACCTCAATTAGATGATGGTCTCTTGGAGCTAAGTCCACACATTCCGTGCCACGGTTGAGCTCTTTCAACAGAGATAAGCTTCTAATTCTGTGGGTTTGGTTGGCTCTCTGCACAGTGCACTGTCTCACAACGCCTAACCAAGCACGCAAGCCAAGGACGGCAGACAAGTCGACTCTTCGGGCCTCATCCTCTGTGTCAACGTGCCTCCAATATGGGTCATCTCATTGGTTATCAACCATTGGTGCGTGGCGGAACAAGTCTCACAAGCCAGACTATTCACTCTCAAAGGTGCCGGATCTGAATTAGAAATGCAATCGTCCAACGGTAACTCAACCCCACGTGCTAAGGCTCCATCGCCTATTTTCAATCTCCGATGACGGCACGCCCTACTGGCCGGCGGGGGCCGGCCACGACTGCAAGTCATACCCATCGCTAAGTAGTCTTGTAAGCTCACTGTTGCAACGCGTGTCGGCCGTATCTCCTCTCTGCACTACGCCCCAGATGACGCTTTCGCCATCGCAGATCCAGCAAGCGTTCCTTAACATCTTGGCAAGACTGGCTCTGTTCGTTGGTCCCTTGTTTGTCGTCGTAGTGGCCATAACAGTGGGCTTCTAGAAAGCGAACGGCAAACCCTGCCGCGAACCCCTCACGATGCATGCGGGGTCAGCAGCAGAAGCGGAATAGACTACCAGAGACTAATTACGCCTGAACTTCGACACCTGGTGGAGACCACGAAGTGGTGGCGCGGCGGCAATATCAGAAATGAGGAGTGCGAATGAGGGCCGCGCCGCCGGCGCCTGGAGCATCTGGAATTGAGAACCTTACTCCCCTCCACACTTGAGATTCGGGAGCTGAGAAGTCACAACTGTCTTTGATGCAGTCCGCATCCTGCAGTGTAACAGGACAACCTTCTGCAAAAGATTCTTGGAGTGGGGGTTCCTCGCCAAATTCCTCCTTCGTCATCCATGCCGAGTCCCTGTTTCTGGCTCGAAGCATGAAAGCAACCTCACAACTGGATAGTTGAAGATGATTGGCCGCTGCGGTTGAGTTACCAGTTGCCATTGGCATGACGGGATGACTGGGCGTTGGGCGCAAGCCTCACTCGCCCTGAACGATGACATGGCGTACTCATACTTTGGCGGGACATACGGATCACTGTCCCGCCGTTCTGCAGGCTGTGCTGTGTGTGTACACACTATCGGGCTCACCATGGGCTTTTTCGTCACACCGCGGCGAGATCACAATGCGCGAGAAAGGCATTTGGGTGACATCACCGCCCACACCCGAGAGAAGATGAGCATTATGAGCCATCCTTCTTTGCAGAAATGTCTAGGAAGATCAGGCTGGCTGGTGTTTAGCAGTGACAGAATGCTTGCTGTCAAGACTCAAAAGCAGCCCTGGCATCCCCACAACACGTAGGGGTTCCGTGAGGGGTTCACCAGGTTCGCTAGGAGCGCAGCGGATCCTGAGTGGGAGCGGATCTCCGGGGCGTGGAGGTGCCTTTTCCAGCCTCCGGACTTCGGGGTGATTCCGACAGAGGGTCAGCCCAAGCGCTAGGTGAGTTGTTGCAACGCCAATAGAATATGTAATGACTATCACCGGCACGCGACCCTGGAGATGGTGTGTGTCAAATCATGCTGTGCACCCTTCTCGGAGACGCCTTGTTGAGCGCCGCCGGAGACTTGTTGCAGCACATCGGAGGGCCAAATGCTGCTACACCCACTACTATATAGTAACTCATTCAGAGAGAGTCGATAGAGAATGGTAACCTTGAAAAGGGGCTACCAAGTGCAAGGCTACGTGGCTACCTAGAAATGGAACAGGGCGATTGAACCGCAAGGATAAGCTTTGAGCAAGTCTTGAAGGCGTGTTGGCGAGGGCTGATGTGAGTGGTCTATTCCGGTTGGCTTGGCTGAGAGCTGGAATGCTTGAGAAAGATGGGATGGTTGTAGAATAGCTATGGTGCCGGCACAAGTTGATTCAGGAGGGGACTTGGCGGCCGATGACTTCTGGACATTTGAGTCGTGAAACATTTGGGGTGGGAAGGGAAGTGGAAAGGGCAGAACGGATCGACGGGGTATCTCCGACAAGCCCGGTGAGTGATGGAAGCCAGGCCAGGCCACACCTCGTTCAGCACTCGGCGGCAGCTCTGAGCAGACGGTGAGGATCTAAGTAGAGGGAACTGACGTGGACTTGGCCGTCCGAGTTGCAGTGTCCGTATTACGGGCACTTTCTCCTTAACTTACCATGTCAGCAGGAGTAATAGCACCCACGGAGGTAAGGTAAGGTACTCACGGGCAACACGGGTACACGCACACAGACCGGGCGGACCAGACGAGCATGGAGCATGGGGCATGGAGCACGGCGACACGGAGGACAGGACCCAGGCATACGGGGAGACGCAAAGGATGGGGCCGGCCGTCATGACGGTGTTTGGGGATTTAATTTTGGACGACGGGACGAAGGGTATTGTTTGTTGAGGTTTTTTTTTTTTTTGTAGCTGTAACGGGCTGTGCTGGTGCACAGAGACACATGTGGCTCTCTCACCCGCTGGAAGTCATGGATCTATACATGGTCCATGGCCAGACGGCGATTGTCAGGACTCCTGTCCAGGCCCAGGTTGAGCTTAAGCTTGTAGCTTTTGATAGGCATGAATGGCTTTCAACTTGACGGACGGAAAGATTGACGTGGGACATGGACATGGGACAGGACCGAGGGCGTGGGCGGATGGGCTTCTGGTATTGGACCGAGACACCAATAGGTAGCGTACCCGGGCAGCCAGCTCTCGAGTCCAGAGTAAGGTAAAACAGACCGTGGACACGTACGCCCAGCAATGGAGAGGCGGAAAAAAAGATCTTTGTTGGTGTTACACTATTGACGACGTAAGCTGGCACCTGGCACCTGGCACCTGGAAACTCGAACCGTTTACCTCAGGCCAGAAATAGGTGTAGGGGGCAACTGGAAATGATGCCCAGCCTTTTTTTTTTTTTTTTCCTGTGGTTCTCTAACCGCTCTCGAGTCGCCCAGGGCCATTGAGCTCGGCCGTATTGTACTTTCCCCATCAGAAAAACAATAGCAATCACGCGTTGGATGGGCAAAGTACCCGTAAAGAGACCGACATATTGCCCAGGCGGTTGCTTCCATCCTTTAGATGGGGACTGGGTTACTAAGATGGAAAGAAGGAATAACACGTGAAATGACCTCAGGAAAGGTGGGAAATGGAATGCTGTCAATCTCGTTCGTGAGCCTTGCCAAACGGAAGGTACGATAGGATAAGGTACTTCAGGTAAAATAGGGCGCCCGCGGCTGCCTTGGACCGTCATGTCACCTCACCTTTGGAAAGAGTGAGTCCACTTTGGAAATCAGCTCTTTCCGTTCGCTCTCAAAGTTCTCAACCACTCTTTTTGCTTCGCACGTCCCGTTCGCTCGGGCACAGACGCAGGGCCATACGGCACGTCCACGTCGGGTTGGGCCCTCCCCCGTTTTCCGTCTCGTTGCGTGTACCAAACCGTTGGGCTGGCTGACTGGCAGGTATAGAGATCGAAGAGACAGAGACAGGACACAACAGGCAAGAGAGGGCACGTAAAGCGCTTAGACTGCTCCGTTTGAAAGGTGCGACCCGCCGCTGGGTGCGAATGAAAGGCTCGAAGGCCCGTTGGCAACCAAATGGATACGCGCCGCCGCCCGCTCTCGCGCTCTCTCTCTCTTTCTCTCTACTTCCCCAAACCCCGAAATCAAATCTCCAATTCCCTTGTGATGGACGAATAAAAAAAACCCCCCTCCCCCAAATATTAGAGACAGAAAAAAAAAGAAAAAAAAGGCACCATCCCGCGCCGCCACGGGTCTAACATCCCAGGGCTCCGGTGCCAGGAGAGGCTCGACAGGATCGCAGACGGGGGTACCTTGCCAAAACGAACATGCACCCTGGATCGCTGGAAAGGGTACATCGGCGACCGGTCACCGAGCATGCAGCACCGACCCAATTAGAGGCTCCACCGAAGGGAACCTCTCCAGAAGCAGAACACAGCTGCAGGGCAAGCCCCGAATTTCGAACGTGGTGGTACTGCTGGTTTACGGTCCACGGGCAGATGTGTGTGTGTGTGTGTGTGTGTGTGTTGGAGTCATTGGGGGCGGCGGAATGCGACAGGAGAGAAATGGGACAATTGCGAGTGGTTCCTGCACACAATACAACGGTTCTAGACTAATGCGCTGATTCTGTCAATTTTCGAGTACGTATCTGTAAATACGGGAATCTGCGACTATCTGTACCTGCCCAGCATTAGTTTCCTGTTTACAGATTGCAGAGTGCAAACACAGCCAAGAATGTACTATTGTACCGCGCCAAGAGGATTCTTTCTAACCTTGGATGTCGAGTCTCTTCTCACACGCCTCACGCCTCATTCTCCCCAGTCCAGAAAAAGGTACTCCATCTTCAGACACACCTCGTCTTCAAGGCCAGCCATGCAGAGCAGGAGTATCCGTACCAAGTACCATACCTTACGGTCCATACCTTAGTAGAACATGACAAGCAGAGGAAGGCAGGGCAGGGCAGGGCTCTATGCAAAATAAGGCAGTGAGGAGTCCTCGGACGGGCCTTCTCCTTGCTCACCCTCACCCTGTCCCGTCCCCGTTCATCGAACCCTCGCCCTCACAGGCTCACCCTCATCCAGGCCAGATCCATTCTCAGTGCTCACCTCACCGCATCCATCCCATACCATCCCATCCTGAGGTGTCTTGCTCTCTGCTGCCCATCACTCGTCCAGGGCCACCATCCCATTACCCATCGCCCGTTGCCTCGACCGTACCACCAAAGTAGATATATCGGTCCTTCCTCCATCGCCGGGCTCCATCGCCCTGACCCTCCCCTCTTCTTTCTATCCTCTTTAACCTGACAGACCCGTCCATCCCGAACACATTAGAATCTTCTTTCTTTTCTGTTCTTGTTGTCCCACAGCCCTTTTTTATTGATACCTTTTTCACCTATCCAGCCAGTTGCTTTGTGTTTGTCTTTCTTGCTTGCACTGCAACTCTCGCCATCCATCACTGCCATACAATTTTCACAGGAATCTGGCATTATCATCCATCGTAGTCTATCTGTACCATCAATATACAGTTAGTGTACTACAGTGCTCTGTCTTTTGTATAGAGTAGATCTCATCGTCGTCGTCCTCCTCCGCACCGGAACAAGACCGCTGTGCACTTACACGCGCTGTGTTCCTTGTCTTGTTCCCCCTCAACACTTTTTTCTCTCAAATTCCGCCCAGACCACGCCTGCTGCGAACCCGGCAAGACCCCTGCACGCTAAGGCAAGAGCTAGCCATCTTGGACGCCACATTTCATCACCCATCCTGGGACAGCTCGACCAGCTTCCCCATCCTAGCGCAGCGATTGGGTACAGGGCCTTTGAACTGACCCCAAGGAGAGAATTCTCACGGCAGGAGCCCAGGAAGCAGGTGCACCCAGCTAAAGCAACAAAGCGGCGACTGCTCTAAACGGCAGGCCCAGCCAACCACAGTTACCACACCCAGGCTCACACCCTGTGTGACTCCTTCCTTTTACAAAGGGTCGTCGGCGTAGTCTCTTCTTTTCCCACGCCTGCCGCCTACCTCGCATATTCGCATCCATGCCCTCCGCAATCTTTCCTGATCACCACCCAGGTCCGTACAAACCAAACCACTCCAGTCCACCACCACCCAAGCTATTCTTTTTTTTTTCCACCCCTTCTACCTCTGTGCGAGCCATTCTTAACTCTTCACACTACATCATTCTTGTCTACCTCCGTCACTATCGACTTATTCATTCTTGAACAAGCTTTTGAGTATTATTAACATACCCTTTTCCATACAAAAAAGACCTTGGTCTTATACAGGCCAAGCAATCTGCCCTGGCGAAGTTGGCCATGAGCTCCAACAAGGATTCACGCGCCCCTTCGTCATCGCCTCCCTCCCACTCCAACAAATCGACCGGCGCAGCGAACTCGAACTCGAACTACCACACCGAGCCCCAGGCACTGCCTGTTTCTCACCCTCACGATGGCCTTCTCCCGCCTCCTGCTATGGCGCATGCCGTTCGATCTATGAACGACTTGAGTGGCCCCATTGCCCTCCGCGATCGCTCCTTGGTCGCAAACTCCGATACCCCTCCTGCGATGCGAAGCGTGGTTTCGACCGCTCCGAATTCCCCTAGAATGTACGTATCTACACAAATTTCCAAAAATTACAGACTGGTGCCACCTCGGGCGAACACTCCTTCCCTCTTGGTGGCTGAGGTTACAACCCTCGTATTCTAGAGCTTGGCTAATCGAATAAACCAACAGCCCGCCTGCCAGACAGAATTCTGGGGGAACGACTCCGCGCCTTCGTCCGCACCCCGCCACACTTAATGTGCCTGGCATGACTGTCTCGAGAGCCTCGCCCGACGGCAAGATTAGTGACCGCGATGTCGCCGCGAAGCTTGTCATTGTCATGGTCGGACTTCCCGCGCGCGGAAAGTCGTACATCACCAAGAAGGTCCAGCGCTACCTGTCGTGGCAGCAGTACAGCTCGACAATCTTTAATGTCGGAAATCGCAGACGCGTGGCTGCCGGCATGAGCTCCCCCATGAAGACTGCCTACTCGCCCGCTGCCGTTAGACTCGACCCGCCGGCCCAGGCTGCTTCAATCTTGCTTAATGGTCATGCGTCTCGTGGCAATAAGGAGCCAGCGGAGCTGAATCTCAACGAGGAGAGCGACGGCATTGACCAGTCCGCCAAGTTCTTCGACCCGACCAACGAGACTGCGGCCAAGCTCCGAGAGCAGGTGGCCCTGGACACCCTGGACGAACTTTTGGACTATCTCCTGCACGAGGGTGGTTCCGTTGGCATTCTCGACGCGACAAACAGCACTATCCACCGCCGCCAGCTTCTGGTCGACCGAATCAAGGCGCGCGAGCCTAAGCTCGGAATTCTCTTCATCGAGAGTATCTGCCACGACCAGAACGTAAGTAATCTTACCGTGCTTGCCTCCGAGAATTTCTTCTAATTTGTTCGCAGCTTCTCGAGGCCAACATGCGTCTAAAGCTTTCCGGCCCCGACTACAAGGACAAGGATCCTCACCAGTCTCTTGCTGATTTCAAGAGACGCGTCGCCGCGTACGAGAGCGCTTACGTCCCCCTCGGAGAGTACGAGGAGGCGCACGACATGCAGTATATTCAGGTATGTTACAGCCCTAGCGCAGCGAATGGCAAGTCGCTAACACGTCATCAAAGATGATTGATGTCGGCCGCAAGCTGGTCCAGTATAGATTGCGGGGCTTCCTGAGCGGTGGCATCAGTTCCTACCTGACGACATTTAACCTTGCGCCGCGGCAGATATGGTTGACCCGCCATGGACAGAGTGTCGATAACCGCAGTGGAAAACTTGGCGGAGACTCCGACCTCACCGCTGACGGAGAGCTCTACGGACAGGCTCTCCACCGATTCATGACCCAGAAGCGCAAGGAGTGGCTCATTGAGCAAAAAGATAAGATCGCTCAATCGTCTTTCCCGCCCAAGGCTGGCGACCACACCCCGCCCTACCCCGAGCTGAACCGCGAGCTGGAGGAGAAAAACTTTTGCGTCTGGACCTCGATGCTGAAGCGAAGCGTGCAGACGGCACAGCATTTCGACAATGACGATGACTACGACGTCAAGGCGTGGGCGGTGCTCAACGAGCTCAACGCTGGCCTGTTTGAGGGCATGACGTATGAGGAGATCGCCAGAAGATTCCCTGCGGAGTACAAGAAGCGCGCTGCCGATAAGCTTCATTACATTTACCCGGGTGTCGGTGGAGAAGGATATCTCCAGGTCATCGCTCGCTTGCGCGATATTGTCCGCGAGATCGAGCGTATCGAGGATCACGTTCTCATTGTTGGACACCGCTCGGTCTGCCGTGTGCTCATGGCTTACTTTATGGATTTGACCCGTGACGAGATCGCCGACTTGGATGTTCCTTTGGGTATGCTCTACTCTATCGAGCCCAAGCCCTACGGCTACGACTTCCACGCGTACCGCTACCTGCCGGACCAGGGAACTTTCATCGAGCAGCCCAACTACCGCCCGCAGCGCACCGTTAACCGCGACGCTTGAGATCAGAGCTGAAGACAGGCTTTGACTGTACCATATGACGACCTGTACAACACGAATGGAATTCTGGAAGGGAGTTTTGGGCGTTGAGGAAAACTCAACTACGACAACGATTTTGCTCATTTTTTTTGGGGAAGGGGGGACTTTTTTCTTTTTGGAAGGGTGTGGGAAAACACGGTCCCACACAGATTTGCTCTTACTTGCACTACTTGAAACAGGGACTTCTTCAACCTCGGATGCGGGAAAGGGATTGAAGCATTTACTCGGCGTTTGGGAATCCCATATGACCATCTGACGAAAGAGGTCAAAAAGATACCCATGACGCAAGGATTCACGAGAGACAAAGCCGGACGGCCCTCTCATTGCTCAATTTTTTGGGAGGCTTGTTCAAGAACACAAGCCGTTAGGTTCTTCTAGGCAGATAGGAGAAAGAAGTCTATCACATGAACATGCTGTGCTGAGTCGGTGAAGTGACGTTGAATAATGGTGCCGTGCCCAGGTTACGAGATCGCCAGGGTTTGACTAAACAGGTTCGCCCTTCCCGGAGATCTGGATGGCTTGACTAACAAAGTAACAATCTGACGTTGCCTTGCTGTGTGTCACTGTACCTTAATGTCTAGGCATATCCTGTAGGAATGACAGAAGTGGAGGCTCCGCCGAGGTGCACTAGCGTCCGTTCGGCAGATGTAACCGTGGAACCAACCCATGGGCAATGATCTGACGGGGGCACCGGGGGAGAGCCGTTATTTGTTTCTTTCACATCTTGTTCCGGGCAGTGACAAGCCTCTAGTAGGGCGGAATAGGCGGGTGCACATGGGAAGTGTGGCGTGACACACACCCAATCCAGATCCGCGGGTGTGGCCGGTCCGGGTGAAACTCGGCGTCGCCTTTTTCGATGAGGCTCAAAGGCTCGGCGGTGTTCCCCCCCTTGTTCCCTTCCACCTTTGTCACGAGGTTTGGCGGACCGAATGTGATATTCGGTCCGAGGGTTTCTACGAGCGGCGGTTTTTTTGCGGCTTGGATTTTTGCGTGGAGAGCGTCTGATGTGTCTTTGGGGACACTTGGTCACAGATGATGGAGTCGTGATTTGAAGGGGTGTCAGGTGATGTTGATTGGGGATTGATGCTTGAGGATTGCAGTGGTGTGATTATAAGGCAATCTCTAGATTGGTCGTATCTAATAGAGGAAGGGTCTATTGTGAGGCTTAAGTCGTTCTACAAGGGTTCTGAGGCGTGTTCACGATCACGGATGTCTTGGGATCACTTGGACCTCAGGCTCTGGATTCACGGGAGGCCCTGATGACTGGGCACCCACTTGTACGAAACTGTATGTGTGCTTTCCTGAGCATCGTTGGCTGGCCCCGCTGGTAGTGTCCTTCATAGCTGTTCAATGTCGATCGAAAAGCCACGACGCCTTAAATATAATATAGTTATGCTTCCTCTTTTCTCCATATTCCCTCTTATCAGCGAGGAAGTTATGAGAGTCCAGGGTATGACAGCAGTAGGCCTCGGTAGATATTGAAGGCGTGAGGGGCTTGATGGCAAGATCGAAGTTGAAGGTTCCCTTATATCCCGTTATTCCTCAGCCACTTATGTGTACCACGGGGGAGGGGGGGGTTCGCGGCATCGGTATTCTCAGTAGTACCAACAGCTTTTCTATTGACCTGAATACGCATCGCCCCCCAAGCTGACGCTATCGATTCGATACTATTGTTGGCTTCCAGTAGAGGACAGGAGACTGGGAAGAGTCTAGAGGGTAGACGATGCAATCGCAGTTGCTGACTTTGACCTCCTTCATTTACTTACGATCTTTTTCCCTTTGAGAGAGCACGACAGGTCGAGTGCGAGACTGGCCTGGCTCGCTGAAAATTCAAGTCAAACAAATATTGCGTTCAAGCCAAGCTCTACATTTGAGTGGAGCTCTCTCTCCTAAGAGAAGGCATTCCTGGTCACTCGCTCGATATCTAGGCATCTTGGGTAAATCGCGTATATGAGTAAACTATAAAGGGGGGTTGCTCAGGGAGAGAGTGTTTTCTTCGCCGCCAGTAATTAGGCATTGACCCATGATCTTTGGCCATTTCAAGCCACAAATATCCGGTCATTGTCGTCAGGGATCTTATCCCGGTTTGGGCGAAATGCAAGCAGGCGCTTCTATAACTCAGCGACACCAAACCACGCTTCAGGCTCCTGCTCTGCTCGACACGCATTCTGAGTAGAACACCCAAAGACGGAAACATGTAAGTAGACATTAAGGTTGAAGGAGGCTGTAGAAGAATAAGATGTTATGGCCGCCTGAAAAAGGTCTTGGGCACCGGCTTTGCTAGCAGACAGGTGGTCTCTCAAAACATGAGGCCAAGCATTTCTCAAGCCTTTCAGACCATCTTCCCGTGGAAGATGAGGGAATCAACATATTTCTGTTCGTCTGCTCATAGTAATGGATGGGAATTTACAACCACCACCGCCTAGATAAATTTCTCTGAAGCTGAATGTTGAGGGCTGCTTTGTCCGGAAGGTAGGCGGCTTCTAGTCAAGAACATAATGGAGACCCTCTAGCTTCACAAGGTGGCTCCAAGCCTGAGGATGACTCTGACGTCTGGGTTGAGTAGTACTCAGGAGAAACTCAACCACCAGATTGAGATACAGGCCCTATACACTAAGAAGCCACGTGAATCCCACCCTTATGTAAAGCTTGGGTGGGAACCCAGCCCTCACTTGTATTCGGATACTGCATACTTTCGCCGAATCTCGCATGGCATTTCAAGTAAAGAGATAACCTCCGTATGCCTGACTTCAAGTAAGCCGATGGTCTAAGAAGCTAATAAACTCATGCGTTTTTTGAGATGATCCTGGAAAGAGAGTAATAGAGGCTGTGTCAGCTTCCATTTCCACACCCACAGAGGACCTGTCACTTGATATCTTGAAAGAAAGATGGTTGCAGCCTGGCATGCGTTCCTATTTATACACACGCCGCACTTCAATTGTTTTGAACTTCAAGACAGGCTACGATGGCTTCTTCTAAGTAGCGATTCTTCATTGCTTGTTCGAGGACGTCATCTGGCCTCATAGTTTCACCAATTCCTACTCTCTGCCCATCGCTTTCCAAAGACATAGCGTCGCCTAAACTATACCTACCTCGCTTCCTCTTGCCGTCCCCCAAGAAGTATTAATATAGTCAAACAGAATATACACAGGACGCCGCCCAAAGTTGACGACCAGCAAGTGAAAACTAAAGGGAAGAAGCCAAGAAACACCCCCACCCCAGATCTCTAAGGTCCCTCATCAGACAAGACGGTTACACTTGCTAGGATGTAGGTAATTGATGTCACGTTATGTACATGATATAGTATTCCGAGGCAAGGCAAGGTTGCGAAGGTACTATCAAAGTACCTGGGTACAGTATGTCCCGAGCACATAATAGTAAAAGAAAGGGCTAGTGAACTCCTTATTTCAAACCAAACAATCGGCCTACACGTGTGAGATGACAACATTTAGAAAAAGGCAGACACGTCTTATCAGGGCTACTGGGCTTCCTCGCGCTCAGCGTGAGCGTTCGGGAAGCCTTCCCGTATAGGCACACCGCGGATGCCTGCCTGGCCAGACATGGACGAACATACATGCCCGGGCCCCCAATGTTAGAGGAATGACATTATACACCCCTCCTCCCGAAAAGATGTTAGTCAAGTTCCATTCTCGCCATCACACTCACTTGACAGAGACCTGGGACCAAGATTGTTATAAACAAGTTTACTATTGTTTCACATATTTACCAAGAGCAAAATGCCACTCATCTATCCTTCGACCAAACAACTTAACCAAAGGACAAAAAGACATACAAAAACAAGGTAGACAACACAAAATTTGTCGCTCATGAAAAGCACGGGTTTTTGAGGGTATCAAACAAGACACCTTTTTGTAATGTGGGGTATTTCCAGGAATTCCAATGTCTCCCCTCCCACACGCCTTTGGTTTTTGATCCGTTTCCCCCCTGTAGACCTTGCGGTCACTGTAAAATAAAAATCATCTCTTTTTTTCGTTTCATAACGCTTTGCTTCTGTTCTGGAATGGAGGAAAGAAGGAAGGATGCTTAGGCCTGGACGGGCTTGATCTGAGTAAAGATCTCACCGGCGGTACGCTTGACGATACCACCAGTGACGGGCAGGCTGGTGCACTGCTCGAGGAAGAGATCGATCTCGCGGGCGGCCTGTCTGCCCTCGTTGATACCCCAGACGATGAGGGACTGACCACGACGGCAGTCACCAGCGGCAAAGACACCGGGGATGTTGGTGCTGTACTTGCCAGGCGGGGTCTTGACGTTTTTGCGGGCGTCCTTCTCAATGTCGTCGCCGAGGATGCGGGCCTCGGGGCCGAGGAAACCCATTGACAGGAGGACGAGGTCGGCGGGGAAGAACTGCTGAGAGCCCTCAATCTTCTTCATGTCCCAACCGCCAGTCGCGGAGCGAGTCCACTCGACGCGGATGGTGTTGATACCCTTGACCTTTCCGGAGCCGTCGTCAACAAACTCTTCGGACATGATGCAGAACTCGCGGGGGTCCTTGCCCATATGCTGCTTGACCTCGGTGTGGCCGTAGTCCACACGGTAGATGCGGGGCCACTGGGGCCATGGGTTGTCGCGGGCGCGCTCCGGGGGAGGCTGGGGAAGCAGCTCAAAGTTGATGACGGACTTTGCGCCGTGGCGGACAGAGGTACCGATACAGTCGTTACCAGTGTCACCACCACCAATGACGACGACATCCTTGCCCTTGGCGGAGATGTAGGAACCATCCTCGAGCTCAGAGTCAAGCAGGGACTTGGTGTTCTTGTGCAAGAACTCCATGGCGTAGTGGATACCCTCGAGCTCGCGACCCTTGATAGGAAGGTCACGGGCGACGGTGGCACCGGTGGCGATGACGACAGCATCGTTTTCGGCTCTGAGGTCCATGAGCTGGATATCCTCGCCGACGGCAACGCCGCACTTGAAGTTGATACCCTCAGCGGCCATGAAGTCGGTACGGCGCTTGACGATACGCTTGTCGAGCTTCATGTTGGGGATACCATACATGAGCAGACCACCGGGGCGGTCAGCACGCTCGTAAACGGTGACGGTGTGGCCAGCGCGGTTCAGCTGGTCAGCGGCAGCCAGACCAGCAGGGCCGGATCCAATGATGGCAACCTTCTTGCCGGTGCGGACCTCAGGGGGAGTGGGGATCATCCAGCCCTGTTCGAAACCACGGTCGATGATGGCACACTCAATCGACTTGATACCAACGGGGTCCTCGTTAATGCCCAGAACGCAGGCACCCTCGCAAGGAGCAGGGCAGACACGACCAGTGAACTCGGGGAAGTTGTTGGTCATGAGCAGACGGTTGAGAGCGTCGCGCCATTGGTTCCTGAAGTGAATTGTTAATTTCTGATACGCACGCGTCCAGTCTTATAGGTGGGGGTTACTCACTG